ACGGCCGCGAACAATGCAATCGACTTCGATGGGTTTTTTAAGAATATCACATACGCGGAAATAGAGCGCGCCGTCGGCAGGATTAATCCGCGTAAAGCGCCGGGACTCGACGGAATAACTTCCGACGCAGCCCTGGCAGCTTTTAAAGTTGCACCGGATGTTTTTATCGACATTTTTAATAACTGTTTTTATTTAGGTGTTTTTCCAGCCTGCTGGAAGAAACAATCAGTAAAAATTATACCAAAAGCGTAGTTTCGACGACGTAAAAAGCTTCCGACCAATCAGCTTGTTACCGATCGTTGGCAAAATTTTAGATAGAATTTTTACTACCCGATTGCAGTTTGAAATTAATAAAAACGGAGGACATAATATAAATCAATTTGGTTTTGTTTCTGGCAGGTCCACCACGGACGCTGTTAATGCAGTCATCGACAAAATTAAAAACTCTCGTAGGAATGATAACTACGTCGCTGCTATTGCATTAGATATTTCCGGAGCTTTTGGCAACGCTTGGTGGCCAAGAATTATTTTCGAATTGCGCAAAGGTAATATATCCGGAAATTTAATCAAATTAGTTCAAAATTATTTTAGCGGCTGTTGTTACCATTTCCGGAACCGCGGTAACTAGGAAAGTTGAAAGGGGTTGTTCGCAGGCCCGCTCCTTGTGGAATATTCTGTATGATACAATTTTTGATATCGCATTACCGGCCGGATGCAAAATTTTTTCATTCGCGAACGACACGTTGCTCGTCGTCGAGGCGCAACAATATAAATCTCTGAAAAGTAAGGCCAACCAAGCACCTGCTATGTTGTCTGATTGGGCGGTAGGTTTAAAACGACGCGGAAAAAACGGTATAATGATTGACGAGAAGTTTTTATGGAAAACACACATTCAATATGTGGCCCATAAGAGCAAAGAAATTTCGCACAAAATCGCGGCGGCCGCTAAACTCACGTCGGGTTTCAGGGGCGCGGCTTTGGCAAAAATTTACGAGGGCGCGGTACAATTCGGCGATGCTTTACGGGGCACCGATTTGGGCTGAGGGTTGTAAAGTTAAAGAATGCAGGTCTCTTTTAAGCGCTCAGAGAATATTGACAGTAAAAGCAGCGACGGCGTATCGTACTGTTCCATCGGAAGCGGCATTTGTGTTGAGCAAAATTCTGCCGTTTGATATTCTGTTGCAGGAAACGGCGAAAAGGTACCGCCTTTTCACCGGCCACCCTAGCAACAACGACCTTGACGGACTTCAACTCCAGGACCGACAGCTCGAACGTCGCGTCAGCCTAGCCGACACAGTACATCCTGCGGACATGGACAACTTCCGGTTTACCGAGGGAGTCCAGGACGCCTACAACACAGTTATCTACACGGATGACCGTTGCAGAAGTGAATCAAGAGATAAATTGACAGTGATAGAGGTGAAACAAATAGAATAATTACCGAAGTTTAGTAATAACTTAATAGTGTTTTTAAGTTTTCTTCGTAAAAGTTAATTTATTAAACCCACGAACATTACAGTATTATCACCTGTCTCTTTTTGTATTGTAAATACTTTTTATATACGGCGTTGCTTCGGCGCTAAAACGAAAGCAATAACACGGTATAACAAACGCCCTTGTTCTTTTTAATTATTATGTCAGTTTCATTTAATAGGGCGAAACATTGCTGTCGTGTTGGAGCCGAAGCAACGAAGAGAACAAGAGTTCATAGCGGTCTGGTTGGGGTTTTCTGGGGTTTCCCCAACCCTTGCAGCAAATGTTGGACCACATGTATATATTCCCAGGCTGTACAATAGCGAACTCTACTCTCATTTTAGGTACATATACTTTTCTTTTAAACACTTTTTTGTGCGGTATTTTAATTTCGACACGAACACGCAAGATATTTGTATAATAACTTTATTTGCAATTCATTTTCAATAAATAAGCTCCAATTATGTGGAACATAGTATTGCGTGTTCCAAACGGGGCATCCTAAGTCAATGTAAGTATAATTTATGCAGGCCCTCCCCTTCTCTGCTAATTAATACATTGTCTCTTATGTAATATAAGCAATAAAATTACTTTCGAAGGTTCAGGTGTTTTTTCTCCAGCGAAAAGAGCAGAGGGAGGGGAAAAATTAGAGATTGTAGTTATATCGAGTTAATTAGTTTATTTTTAGTTTTATTCTCATAATTAAAATAGCGCATATTACCTTTCGTAAATATTTTATTTCTAAAGACCGCCGCTGTAGTACCGAGAGGTGGAACAGCGGCACCACGATGAACAGGATTAAAAATTCAATCCTTTCAAACATATACTTTTATGGATCCTAAATCCACAAAAATCAACCCCGACGCGGATTTGGTATTAAATTTCGGACAAATTAATTTAGGCAAGGGCAAGGCGGCTGCAAGCAATCTTTTAAAAATTATTTTAGATAAAAAGTTAGACATTTGTTTTGTATAGGAACTGACGGTCAACAAATCCAAAATTACAGGTTTTTCTAAAAATAACTTTACCATTAGGAAACAATGTAATATTCCTAAAAGTGCTATTATTTCAACAAATTTTATTGTTATTAGTGAAATTATCTATTTTTCCAAATCACTTATTCTCGTAAATGTCTATTTACCACCCGCTGGCAGTAATGTCGACGAAAACCTCATTTTCGAACGACTTCGAGAAATTGTTCATCAAGTTGGTAATTTAAAACCAATTATCTTTGCGGATGATTTTAATGCTAAGCATTACGTATGAATTTTTTGAACAAAACAACCTAATTATCCTAAATAATAATACTGAACCAACTTTTGTCGGACATCGCGGTACCAGTTTTGTTGATCTTACTGTAGTAAATTTTGAGGCATTTAAACTAATTAAAAATTGGCAACTTGTTGACGAAGAGACACTCTCCGATAACAAGTTCATTTTTTGGCAAATTTCTTTTAACAATAGCGAGATAAATTTTGTCGACCGTAGGTTTTGCAATAAAAAAGTAGATAGGGACGTTTTTTCTGAAAAATTTAGGAATAGCATAGGAAACATAGTACTATTAGACGAAAATAAGTTTCAGTTCGCGCTAGCTTTTTAAATGACTGTATTGTGGAATCTTGCAAGGCGTCAATGCCGCCTACTAAATCTTTTAGAAATAGTGTACCGTGGTGGACAAAACAGCCCACTGATAAAAGATCAAAATCGCGCAGACTTCGTCGCTCTTTTCAACGCGAAAAAACAACCAATAAACGAGCCGAATATTACCGTGCATTTCGGGAATATAAAGAATTATTAATTAAATCAAGGGGAGACAAATTTAAAGAATTTTGCACGCGTAATTCAGGAAAGGACCCTTGGGGAACGGCATACAAAGTTATTCGCGGTAAAAAATCTAATAAAGTTAGCTTCCAAGGTCTAAAACTTCCCGACGGTACTTTCACTAAAAATACTAAAGATACGGCCGAATTTATTCTACATTCCTACTTTCCGTTGGACGACCCTATTTTAGATAATCAAAATCACGCGCGAGTTCGCACGGCCGCGAACAATGCAATCGACTTCGATGGGTTTTTTAAGAATATCACATACGCGGAAATAGAGCGCGCCGTCGGCAGGATTAATCCGCGTAAAGCGCCGGGACTCGACGGAATAACTTCCGACGCAGCCCTGGCAGCTTTTAAAGTTGCACCGGATGTTTTTATCGACATTTTTAATAACTGTTTTTATTTAGGTGTTTTTCCAGCCTGCTGGAAGAAACAATCAGTAAAAATTATACCAAAAGCGTAGTTTCGACGACGTAAAAAGCTTCCGACCAATCAGCTTGTTACCGATCGTTGGCAAAATTTTAGATAGAATTTTTACTACCCGATTGCAGTTTGAAATTAATAAAAACGGAGGACATAATATAAATCAATTTGGTTTTGTTTCTGGCAGGTCCACCACGGACGCTGTTAATGCAGTCATCGACAAAATTAAAAACTCTCGTAGGAATGATAACTACGTCGCTGCTATTGCATTAGATATTTCCGGAGCTTTTGGCAACGCTTGGTGGCCAAGAATTATTTTCGAATTGCGCAAACGTAACATTTCCGGAAATTTAATCAAATTAGTTCAAAATTATTTTAGCGGCTGTTGTTACCATTTCCGGAACCGCGGTAACTAGGAAAGTTGAAAGGGGTTGTTCGCAGGCCCGCTCCTTGTGGAATATTCTGTATGATACAATTTTTGATATCGCATTACCGGCCGGATGCAAAATTTTTTCATTCGCGAACGACACGTTGCTCGTCGTCGAGGCGCAACAATATAAATCTCTGAAAAGTAAGGCCAACCAAGCACCTGCTATGTTGTCTGATTGGGCGGTAGGTTTAAAACGACGCGGAAAAAACGGTATAATGATTGACGAGAAGTTTTTATGGAAAACACACATTCAATATGTGGCCCATAAGAGCAAAGAAATTTCGCACAAAATCGCGGCGGCTGCTAAACTCACGTCGGGTTTCAGGGGCGCGGCTTCGGCAAAAATTTACGAGGGCGCGGTACAATCGGCGATGCTCTACGGGGCACCGATTTGGGCTGAAGGTTGTAAAGTTAAAGAATGCAGGTCTCTTTTAAGCGCTCAGAGAATATTGACAGTAAAAGCAGCGACGGCGTATCGTACTGTTCCATCGGAAGCGGCATTTGTGTTGAGCAAAATTCTGCCGTTTGATATTCTGTTGCAGGAAACGTCGAAAAGGTACCGCCTTTTCATCGGCCATCCTAGCAACAACGACCTTGACGGACTTCAACTCCAGGACCGACAGCTCGAACGACGCGTCAGCCTAGCCGACACGGTACATCCTGCGGACATGGACAACTTCCGGTTTACCGAGGGAATCCAAGACGCCTACAACACAGTTATCTACACGGATTGATCTAGATTAGACGACGGACGGGCTGAAGGATCCTTTATTTTGTTCAGCGGAGACGCCGAGATTTATCGGGATAATTTCACCCTCGTGGAACATAGTACTATCTTTCAGTGTGAAATGATAGCACTACGACAAGCACTCACATATCTCCGAGGGCATTCGGATATAATCAAGGAGTGTTCCATCGTTACGGACAGCCAGTTAGTTTTGACGGCCCTTCGCAATATGAGACAGCCAACTACGCTACAACTGGAGACGTGGGAACTCGCGGTCAATCTGGCCAGAGAAATTTCCCTACGTTTTCACCGGACACCGTCGCATTCTGGAAACGAGAAAAACGACGCAGCGGATCAACTTGCGAAGGCCGCTGCCACCGACCAGGCGACTGCACCAATTTATAAATTGGCGCCCAGGGCACACGTCAAGCGACGTCTACGCAATTTTTCCCTGGAGGCTTGGAAAGAACGATGGAGGACTGCTACAACCGGAAGGACTACGGCGAGCTTCCTACCGGATCCCTGTTACGACAGGAAAATCACGGGAGATTTTGACTTCTATATGGTACAGCTTATGACAGGACACGGGAACTTTAATTCATACTTAAAACGTATCGGGAAAATCGACAACGATTTGTGTGAGTGTGATGGCACCGATACATCGGAGCACGTCCTTTTTCATTGGGTTCTTTTTGCTCAACAACGAATAGTTGCCGATCGGGTCCTCGCGGCCCGCGGTTTAAGACGGCCGGCCAATTATCGGGAGGTCACCGAAGTGCGGGACGAGAGGGACTGGTGGGACGATTTTCGCTCTTTTTCAAATCGCGTTGATAAGCTGAAAGTCAATTAAAATGCCCTCGCGATGTGCGCGTTCGGGTTCGTTCGTTTGTGTTCTTTACAATTACAACCGGTATGTTTCTACGCGTTCGTGCAAGTTCGGCTCGGCCCGGTACTCCAACTTGCACTCGTCGTCGTTCGCGTTCGCGGTCGAGGTCTCGGCCCCGTGGGAATGCTCTGGAGACCAAGACGCTGCGGAAGACTGAAGCCTGCACCCCCATATTACTCGGGGTTCTTTATTGTATATATGTGTATATAATCGACAGCCAACTTTCGAGTTCTGCTTTTGGATATCATGTAAATATTTATCGTGTGCTTTATATTCCATAATATTTGGCGGGAAAGCAAGGAAAGTTGTTTTTACTTTTTACTGTTTGATTACACACTAACGTAACGCAAATTCTGGCTTATTTGAAGCAATACAGTTCCTTGCTCTCCAGCCAAATATCCTAGGTTAAGAAGGTGGCCTGGTTGGGTGTTTTCCTGGCTTTCCCCAACCCTTTCAACGAATGTTGGACCATATGTACATATTTCTCAGAAATTAACTTCGTGTAAATATTCGTACAGGCACTCCTCCCTCTCTGCTCAAATTTTCTATTTACTGTAAAACAATAATAAAGTTACTTACAAAGGTTTTTGTCTTTTGCGCGAAAGCAGATGGAGGAGATAAAGTAGGGACATTTTATAAGGAGTTAATTAGCTTAATTTTATCTTTATATATATATATATAGTTAGATATTTTAAAAATGTAAATATTATTATCGTGTAGAACGCCGCTGTAGTACCATCGGGTGGGGCAGCGGCACCAATGTAAATATTTCAACAAATAAATCGTATTGTCTCAGTTCGCAACGAGCGCTTCGGTTCGGTCGTACGATGAGCGAGTTGCCACGCCCACCGAAGCAACAAATTACCGGCATTCAATGTCGGGCAGCGCGAGTGAGTGTGTCGTCAAAGTGACGGCGATGGACTTTACACACGAGTCGTCAAAAAGAAATAGTGTGCGTACGATTAGCGACGACGAATCTGAAACTAATTCTGTTTCAGGTTCCAAAAAAGTGAAACAGCGTGATGATGGCGAAACAACGCAGATGACCGGCCCATATCCCGAAGACGTCTTCAGCTGTGACGCCCGACGGCTGTATAAAATGGTACGTCGTTTAATTTCTATGAAAGCGGAAACGATCAAGGTAGCCGATAGGAAGGTGATTCGGGAAACAGCGGATGAGCTAAAAACGGCTCATACAGATCACCGGGATAGTAAAAGAGCTGCGATACAACTTAAAGTTAAAAGATCAAAAGATCGAGGAACTGCAAAAGGCGAGAAACGTTAGTACCCCGATTTTTTCTTATGCGGAAAGAGTTAAAGCAGGCGGAAATAACGTTAGTTTTACCCCGAAACCGCAAATTAATTAAATTAATACGGTACGCGTCCAGGCCAAAGAAGCTGGTAAAGACGCTAATTTTGTTAAAAAAGTTATAATGCGTACTGTCGACCCCATCAAGAGTAACATATTAGAAAAAAATGATATGGCAACCAAATCGGAAGACGTAGTTGTAGACTGCGCAAATAAAGAAGACGCGGAAAAAATTTAATTGACGTTGAATATGAAGGCTAAAAACGATTTAGCGGTTAGGGACATTAAAAAACGCTGGCCGGTGGCATATTGTAGTCGAACTCTAAATAAAGCCGAATTGAATTATAGTACACCGAAAAGGAGTTGCTAGCGATCGTGCGGGCCACGAAGCATTTAAGTCCTTATTTATTCGGCAGACAGTTCACTATCGTTACGGATCACAAGCCTTTGGTTTGGTTATTTAGCGTAAAAGATCATGGAAGCTTCGGAATCGCCAGCTTCTGTAGGTTATTCACCAGAAGATGTCTGCGGAGTTCTATTACTGCGTCCCAAAGGTCTCTATAAGTGGGATTATTAGAACATCTTCCTTTAGTTATCAGGTAATACATATTGCGTCGACCGTCAGCAAGCACAACAGTCTTTTTTCCTTCTGTACTTGGTGTTCAAGATGTTCCAAACCGCCAAATCTGCGTTTGAACTCGGACGCGACACCACGGCTCATTCTGAGATCATTTGAAACGCAATGGGCCAGAGAATATTCCTTGGATATAGCAAAGAAGTCCCGTCGGATTTCTTGCGTCGCTCCAAATTTCTTGTTAACATGGCCTTCCTTCTTGAACTCGACGACGAGGATTATACAACCAAACAAGATCTCCAGTTTGGTAACCACCAGCTGTAGCCTTGATATCGTAGTTTTCTTTAATCCTGTCACTAGCAATCTGCGCATGCAGACGAACCGACTCGTGGATATCGTTAAGCTTTCTTCGGAGGTTGTAACATAATCTTCTCCAGCCAAGTCATCTCCTGGTGTACATCCGAATTTGAGGTCACAAGGTAGTCGTAACTCCCTTCCAAAAAGGACACTGACAGGTATTTGGCCAGTCGTTTCGTGGACAGATGAACGGTATGCCATTAAGAATAAAGGCAAATAGCGGTCCCAGTTCCTTTGGTTGTCAGACACTACTTTGGAGAGATATTTAATCAAGGTCCGGTTCATTCGTTCAACCATGCCCTCAAATTGTGGATGGAGTGGAGTGGTTCGAGTTTTCTTTATTCCTAGGAGCTCGCATATTCCACGGAATATAGCCGATTCGAAATTCCTCCCTTGATCTGAGTGCAACTCCAAGGGCACCCCAAAACGACTGATCGACTCTTTCACCAGTTCCTCAGCTATGGTTTCCGACTCCTGGTTCGGAATGGCATAGGCTTCAACCCACATGGTAAAATAGTCCATAACGACCACGATGTACTTGTTACCTTTCTCGGGCTCTGGGAATGGACCCGCCACATCGATTGTGATTCGTTCGAATGGGCCACCGACATTGTATTGACGCATTGGCGCCCTTGGCCTTTTCTGTGGTCCATTACTCGCGGCACAGGTGGTACACTTCTTAAATCAATTCTTGATATCTTCCTTACATTTCACCCAATAAAATCGCTCTCGAACTTTCCCAAGCGTCTTATTCACTCCAAAATGGCCACCAGATGATCCATCATGAACATACTGCAACACCTCTCTAACCTTGTTTCGAGGAATAACCAGTTGCTTCCTATCTTCCTCTCCATTTGGACATTCAACAACACGCTTCAGGATGTCATCCTCCAAAACCATTGAATCCCACTGAGCCCATAACGATTTCAATACTTGGGTACAGGAAGAAACTTGCTGCCACGTTGGCCGTTTTCCGTCTTTTTTCCATTTCATTATCTTCTTCAAGTGCGGGTCGTTTTCTTGGTCGTGTTTTATATTGTCAGGCAACCATTCGTCATCGATTACCGTGACGCGTCCAATTGCCTCGGCATTCTTGTGTCCGGTTCCCGGCCGATGCACCACGTCAAAATCATATTCCTGTAGCTTCTCAATCCATCGAGCTACCTGACCCTCCGAATTCTTGAAATTCAGAAGCCACTTTAAAGCTGCATGATCGGTGCGTAGGGTGAATTTTCGTCCATAAAGGTATTTATAAAAATGTTCTAACCCTTTGACTACAGCCAGCATCTCTCGCCTAGTGACGCAGTAGTTTCTTTCGGCTTTTGATAAGGTCTTACTAAAATAGCCGATAACCTTCTCTTGGCCATCTTGTAACTGCGAAAGAACGTCTCCCACTCCCACATTGCTGGCGTCGGTGTCTAAAATGAACATTCCATTGGGCCGAGGATGTACCAGTACGGGGGCTGTGATTAAAGCCTGCTTCAAAGTATCAAATGCCGTTTGACAATCCGAATCCCAATGAAATTTGCGGTTACTTTCGGTTAAACGTGTCAAAGTTTTGGCGATATTGGCGAATCCATAAACATAGCGACGATAATAAGTGCACAATCCCGAGAAGCTTCTTATGTTGTGGACATTTTCAGGCACTGGCCATTCTTTCACGGCCTTTATCTTCTCTGGATCCACGGCCACGCCCTTCGCTGATACAACATGACCCAAGTAAGAAACTTCCTCGCGGAANAATTCTGTTGGAACTTAGGTGATAGTCCACGGCGACGACGAGGATTATACAACCAAACAAGATCTCCAGTTTGGTAACCACCTGCTGTAGCCTTGATGTCGTAGTTTTCTTTAATCCTGTCACTAGCAATCTGCGCATGCAGACGAACCGACTCGTGGATATCGTTAAGCTTTCTTCGGAGGTTGTAACATAATCTTCTCCAGCCAAGTCATCTCCTGGTGTACATCCGAATTTGAGGTCACAAGGTAGTCGTAACTCCCTTCCAAAAAGGACACTGACAGGTATTTGGCCAGTCGTTTCGTGGACAGATGAACGGTATGCCATTAAGAATAAAGGCAAATAGCGGTCCCAGTTCCTTTGGTTGTCAGACACTACTTTGGAGAGATATTTAATCAAGGTCCGGTTCATTCGTTCAACCATGCCCTCAAATTGTGGATGGAGTGGAGTGGTTCGAGTTTTCTTTATTCCTAGGAGCTCGCATATTCCACGGAATATAGCCGATTCGAAATTCCTCCCTTGATCTGAGTGCAACTCCAAGGGCACCCCAAAACGACTGATCGACTCTTTCACCAGTTCCTCAGCTATGGTTTCCGACTCCTGGTTCGGAATGGCATAGGCTTCAACCCACATGGTAAAATAGTCCATAACGACCACGATGTACTTGTTACCTTTCTCGGGCTCTGGGAATGGACCCGCCACATCGATTGTGATTCGTTCGAATGGGCCACCGACATTGTATTGACGCATTGGCGCCCTTGGCCTTTTCTGTGGTCCATTACTCGCGGCACAGGTGGTACACTTCTTACATCAATTCTTGATATCTTCCTTACATTTCACCCAATAAAATCGCTCTCGAACTTTCCCAAGCGTCTTATTCACTCCAAAATGGCCACCAGATGATCCATCATGAACATACTGCAACACCTCTCTAACCTTGTTTCGAGGAATAACCAGTTGCTTCCTATCTTCCTCTCCATTTGGAC